TCCCTTCCCTTGGCCTTAGTATAACTGGAATCCATGCTGTCTCAACCTCTGAAGTAGACACCCTATTCACAGACTATTCTGATGTCTTTAGTAATGAATTGGGTTGCTATTCTGGCACCCCCATCTCCTTCACTGTGGACCCCCAGGCAATTCCCCTTCGCCTCAAGCCGCTCAGGGTACCCTTTGCCATCCGCCCAAAATTAGATTTAGAATTATATAAGTTACTAAAGCAAGGGGTATTAGAGCCAACTGATTTTGCCAAATGGGAGACCCCCATAGTCACCCCACTCAAAAAAGATGGCAGCGTGAGAATCTGCGCTGATTACAAGACCACCCTCAATCGTTATCTGCAGGTCAGCGCATACCCTGTACCTGTGATCCAACACCTATTACACACTTTCGAACCTGGCACCATCTTTGCCAAATTAGATATGTCCCAGGCATACCAACAGTTCCCTGTTGATGATCAGACAGCTGAGCTGCAAACCATAGTCACCCATAGGGGAGCATTCAAATGCAAGCGCCTCCAATTTGGCGTGAGTGTAGCCCCAGGTATTTTCCAGTCTCTCATGGAAAGGATCCTCCAAGGACTTCCAGGGGTAGTCCCTTACTTTGATGACATTTTAGTTTCAGCAGCTAATAAACCTCAGCTCATACAAAGGGTTAGGGCAGTCCTAGACAGGTTCAGGCAGCATGGCCTCAAACTCAAAAGGGAGAAGTGCACCATCGCCACTAAGCAAGTGGACTTTTTAGGGTACAGGATTGATGCCTCTGGTATTCACCCAATTGAATCCAAAGTCAGGGCTATCCACGAGGCACCCACACCAACCAACAAGACGGAACTCCAAGCCTTTCTGGGGCTGCTGAACTTTTACGCTTCATTTCTTCCTCATAAGGCATCCATTGCAGAGCCCTTACACAGACTGTTAGACAAAGAATCCCCCTGGCATTGGGGACCCAGGGAAGCCCACGCTTTCAAATCAGTCAAATCCTTACTAACATCTGATGCAGTTTTAATCCAATTTAATCAACAACTCCCCCTAGTCCTGGCTGCTGATGCATCCCCTTTTGGTATTGGGGCAGTTCTGAGCCACAGGCTCCCAAATGGTTCTGAGGCACCAGTTGCCTTTTTCTCTAGGACTTTCTCTGCTGCAGAAAGAAACTACAGCCAAATTGATAAGGAGGCCTTGGCTGCAGTAGCTGCAGTAAAAAAGTTTCATGAATTTCTATTTGGGCACCACTTTGAACTCATAACTGACCATAAACCACTCCTAGGACTTTTGTCAGGGGACAAGCAAACCGCACAGGTCCTATCACCTAGGATGACCAGGTGGACTCTGTTCCTGGCCGCATATTCATATAAATTAGTGCATCGCCCTGGAAAAAACTTGAGTCACGCAGATGCCCTTAGTCGCTGCCCCCTGCCAGTTTCAGTCGAAGACCCAGCACCCATTCATGCCATTTTTGAGGTAAATGAACTTAAATTGCCTGTTACAGCTGAAGACATTGCAACGCACTCAAAAAAGACAGGGTAATTGCCCAGGTTCTGGACTGGGTGGGAAGGGGGTGGCCTGAAACACAATACACTTCTGATTTCACTCCTTTCAAAATTCGCAAGCAAGAATTGTCAAGCCTACAGGGTTGTCTGTTGTGGGGGACAAGGGTGGTCATTCCAGCCACTCTCCGTGTACCCATCCTAAAGGTCCTTCACGAAGGCCACCCGGGCATCATGAGGATGAAGGCCCTGGCCTGCAGCTACATTTGGTGGCCAGGCATGGATGCCCAAATCTCCAACTGGCTAAGCTCGTGCCAACCTTGCCAAACTACCAGGCCTGCCCCACCAGCAGCCACTCCTACCAGGTGGGAAAGTGCTGGGGGACCTTGGTCTCGCCTGCACATCAACCTGGCTGGACCAGTACATGGGAGGACCTTCTTGGTTTTAGTAGACTCGTATTCCAAATGGATAGACTTGGCCCTACTTCCTTCAACAACCATTCAAGCAATTGTTAAGGCTCTGACCCATTTGTTTGTTACCCATGGCCTCCCTGACACACTGGTGTCTGACAATGGCCCCCAGTTCACATCTTGTGAGTTTAGTATGTTCGCTGCCAACTTAGGTATCAGACACATTCTCACAGCCCCTTTTCACCCAGCTAGCAATGGGATGGCTGAAAGGGCAGTCAGGTCAGTAAAAGAGGCACTTGCTAGGTTTGGCCAGGAAAACTGGCACTCCAAACTGTCACGTTATCTTCTAAGCCAGCATACAACCCCATGCACCTCTACAAATAAATCTCCTGCTGAACTATTAATGGGGAGGCGTCTTAGGACCACCTTGGACAGGCTACATCCCCATTACAGCCCAGACACCCCCCTGGGATCTGACAGCTTGGTCAGGGACTTTGCCCTGCATGACCTGGTATACGCCAGGAATTATGCAGGGGACCGGCTGTGGGTACCTGGACAGGGTGTGTCAGTTGCAGGGCCAAGATTCTACAGAGTCCTCCTAGAAGACGGACGCTTGTGGCGCAGGCACGTGGACCAGCTGAGGAGAAGGTGGAGAGGCACAACCAATGGCTCCCGCATCCAGCCAAGCGACCCGATCTACCCAGCAAGCACCAATGATCCAGCCTACCCGACAACCGCCAAGGGGCTGGTCTACTCAGCCCAACCAGCCAGCACCGAAGGCTCCCTACCAGGACCGATCTACCCAGCCGAGAGGTCCCTGCAGGGCCCGATCTACCCCGCTGACGCAGAGAGCTCCCTGCAGGACCCGATCTACCCCGCCGACGCCGAGAGCTCCCTGCAGGGCCCGATCTACCCAGCCGGCGCCGAGATCTCCCTGCCAGACCCGATCTACTCAGATGCCGCCGAAAGCTCACCGCCGGGCCCGAGTGAGCCAGTCTACCGCCCCAGCCGAACGATGCGCCAGAAACGAACCGAACGGAGAAGCCTACCTGATCCACCGCAGGGCCTCGCAGACCGAACCCGCTCTCCTGCAGTCACCGAGACGCTCCCCGGGGCCGAGGACTTCGCTCCAGCCAGAGACTTTCCTGAACTCCGGCGGTCCTGCCGCCATCGTAGACGACCGGCCTATTTGCGGGACTACGCATGCTCCTGGCTGGGGGAAAGGAGTGTTGTGTCTATAGAACTGGCTGGAGTTCCCAACCAGGTCCTCAGTTCAAGCAGGAGCGCCGACCACTCCCATTGGCTGATGCCGTTTGACAGCCAGCTATAAAAGGAGCTGTCAAACGGCATCAGCTGTTGCCGCCAGCTGATCTGCCGAGTTAGCCTGGCAGACGCGGCAACCCTTTATTCATCTGAATAAAGCCTCTTTAAAACGAACGCTCTGGCTCAGCCTTGTATCTCCGCCGCTCCACAACATCAATTATGCATTGCCTTATTCCCCTTTTATTTCTAAGTCCCAAACAGGATAATATTTGCTTATATGGAAAATGCCTCTTGTTTGGTTTGGTTGATCAACTGGTCCTTTAAGATTAACAAGATCATTTTAAAAATGCAATAATCAGAACTTGAGACAGCATCCCAGATTTGGTTACATCATTCATTTTCCATTCATTTTCTGGCAATGTGATTTAAACCATTTTTACAATGAGCTGATATTGTATACTATATCCAGCAAACCTCCTTTGGCTTCATATTTGCACAAAACAATTATTTTATTATACCCTTTATTTACATTAACAAACATCATTTAAATTCCCATTTAACATTGATATATATCAAAACTGAAAAAAGCAAAAAATATGCATAGATCAAGGAGAACATAAAAACATGCAGTTTCTCAAAATTTTGCTCAGTTACCTCTTCCACCCTTTCATTCAGAATTCAGGTAAACACCTTTGCAGCCATGCTTAATAAACTAATCACTTGTAGTTCTTGCTTTCACTCTTATTTACGATATTTACATACTACTGTAATCTAAGAACTCCCAGAAGTTTCCAGGATAGGAAAGATAATTAAAACATTTACAGAACATTAAACATAATGTCAATTATATATTATTCAATCACCATAAAAACAAACCAATCAATCATTTCAATAATAATCACACATAAAAGCAATAAATAAAAAAAATAAAGAATCAAAGATGTCATAAACCAGAAACTCAACAAAACACTCACTGGAAAAGTTCATTTTTAGTATTTTTCTAAATGTGATCACCACTGGACCAATTTGACCTCACTTGAGCAACTATTCCAGAACACCTGCATTTCCACTGAAAAATGGTGCCTCTTGGCTTTGGCTCCTTCACTTCCCAGAAGTGTGGAACTACAAAGAATGTCTCCACAGATAATTGGCTACAGTAATTTGGTATGATAAAGTTGTATTTACATCATAAAAATGATAGAATCACTCACCTTTCGATGACATAGATAGGGATTTAATGTAGTTTCTTTAGTCTTGCATTTCTGCTGGCCTACCATGGCTGCCAATGTTCTATAAATTCTTTTGCATGCACACTTTTCATTTACAAATTGAACAAATATAATTCTTTTTCTACTTCGTAGAAATGTACAAAGGTTTTGCCAAGTTGTACATTATGACTGTCTCACTAAGGTTTAAAGATCATGTCAGCATAACTTGCTGGTGATAAGACTATTTGCAATAGGATAACTGAAATTGCTGATTGGTTTTCTCTTTTCAGGTCTATATGCTATGTTATGGCTTGCTAAATTATGAAGAAGATTCATTCAGATTTCACTGGAGCTGTGAATTATTGACTAACAACATGCAAAGGGAATATAATAGTTTGTATCTAAGTCTCTTGCAGTTTTATAAATGGAAGTGTCGGGCTTTGTGAAACGATTTGCTTGACAGCATTGGAAGATTAATGGCTTGAGGTAGATGAAACGAAAACAAACATTGCTACCAGATGATGTCTTCACACTGACTAGTTTTGATGAGGGGGGAATACAAACACTTCATTACATACCCACAATCGGCAATGTAGCATTAACCACCGAGGAACATCATACTAATAAATTCATAAAGACAGCTTTTGGCAGGGTGGGTAAATAAATCAAGAGAGCAACTGCAGGAATGGGAGGAGTAAGGGGTAGTTGGGAATCGTGGCTTAGTATGTGATGTAGACCATAGAATTATAGTGTTAATAGGGTAATTGGGACACAAGTGCAGGGCAGAGATAGACAACGATTAGGTGGTGGGGTGAAGGGATAAATTACACTGAAAGATGATTGATTTCAGTGCTAACCTTGTTCAGTTTAACTGTGCTTTCCGGTTACTGTACTAGGAACAATTAAAAAAAAGAATACAAACCTACCTGTTTGCAATTTCTTACCTAGGATTCACAGAACCACGGCTAAGAGGAGGGTTGGACTAAGGCTATTAATACAGCTATCCTGACTAATTACAGCTGATGAAAGTTTTGTCATAGATTTTAATCCAAGTTGGATTATATATTAACCCTATATGATTTATCTCTCAGAAAACAAGTTTCTTCCTCTTGTTACTGAAGTTACTTAAGTCTTGTAACCTCATCCTAAAAATTAATTAAAGTAAATAGAAAAGGTACTTAGACAATTAAGTATACAAAACGGATATGGACTTCTAGATAACAAAATATAAAGGTGCAGTGACAGTTGGGAGTATTTCTACTTTGAAGTTAGTCTTCTATGGAAAAAATGAAAAATAAAAAAACATACCTTGGACAAAGCCATCAGGCTCCTTTTACTGGAATTTCACCTTTGTGCCTTCTTCTACAGTATTCAAGCTTTGTGTCTCCTCAGATTGTCTCCATTTTCTCTTACCGCCCCTCCACCCCTTTCCAGGCTCTGTGCCTTCATTAGCACTTTATCTACCTAGACGGCCTGTTAATTTCCCCACTAATATCACCTTGGAAAGGGGAAGCTTTCATGGAATCAGTTTTGGAGAGCTATAAATAGTGTGCAATAAAGTCAATTGAAAAGAATAATCAATGTGCAAACGTGTATAGAAACGTGTGAGAAAGAGACAGGGAGGGAGGGAGGGAGAGGTGGTATTCAGCAGGTTCTGACCAGTTCTGGAGAACTGGTAGTGGAAATTTTGAGTAGTTTGGAGAACTAGAAAATGCTACCTCTGACTGGAAATTTTACAGTATCCTTCCCCTGCCACGCCCACAGAACCAGTAGTAAAAAAATTTGAATCCCACCACTGCACTCTATTAAAGGTGATTCCTCACTATCAATTTGTGGGGTTTTGCCATCAGTTCCTGCATCATAGTAAGCGTTGCCTGTACTGTCTGCAGGCTTTGAGCTGAACTAGTTTTTTCTGCCAATAGCATTGCATCTATAGATCTCTGCCCCATAGGTGAAGACATAGTTGTTGTAGTTTTCTTTCCTGATTTTACATTTGTAATTGATGTCACCATTTTAACTATCTGTAGCCGCTCTTTCCAATCTACCATCAACTATCCCTAGTAGAGCACTATTTTCCTCTCCTTTTCAGTTCAATAGTAATATTAATACATATATTATTATATTATTAATTACCAAACTTCTATTATGGAAAATCACAATCAGCTCTTATTTCTATTTTTTCTTATTGAACTTATTCAACTATTACAATACTTAAGAGAATTCAATATTAATCAAATACAGATATATTTACTCACAAAATCAACAGTCTTATATGCTGAATTAATTTAAAGCACCCAATTCATTAAAGTAATTAAATTCTTATCTATATAAAAATATCAATTAATCTATTTCTTTAGAGTTCTTAGTTATATGCTTACCTCAGAATAAAACTACCTCAATTTCTTACTATATGATTATTATTTGAAGGTCTGAGTTCTATATTTATACAACATACTTTCAATTGTCCAGTTATTCAAAAATTATTAACCAGTATTCTTAACTTAATATTCTAAGATTATGTTTTACCAATATTATTTAGTTACATCTATGATTGACCAGTTGAATGATGTCCATGGATGATGATGATGATGATGATGATGATGATCTTCTTCTTCTTCTTCTTCTTCTTCTTCTTCTTCTTCTTTGATAAATACCTTATTACAGTTCTTAGTTCGAGTTCAAAATGTCCTCTTTAAATTTGCACAGTCACTTCCACCATTTCGTTTCTCCTTTCTATTTTGGCTTCTTCTTCTTCTTGCTCCTTTATTCTTTCTCTCCTCACAGTCCTAGTTCCACTTATAACTCTTAGTTATCTTATTTCTTCCTTTTTTCTTTATCACAGTTATCAGACAAATATTGCAATTATAAGGTTTCTTTTCTCAATCTTTTCCTTAAATCTTTTAAAGTTCTCTTTTCAAGTTTTTACTCTCAGCTGTTCTTCCAGTCTCTCTGTCTCACTTGGACACGTCACTGTCACTTTCTCTTTCTTTCCACAATTTTCAAACGTCAATCGCCAAAAAATATAATTATACAACCCCCTTTTCAACTCCCAAAGTAAAAGTAAACGGTGTTGTCTCACCCTTCAGCTCCTCCGTTTTCAGTGCTCCATTAATAAGCACAAATTACTGCCATTTCTTTAGTGAGTACTCCTTCCGATATTTCTGCCGTTTCGCTACACTGTTCGGTTTGCAGTTTCAATTGTCAATTTCCCTTTGTGGTATAAATCAGTATTCTGGAAATCTTCTTTAAGTTCACCTTTCCACTACTCAATTTGCTGTTTCTACTCTTTGCTTCCTTCCTTCTTTTTAAGCTGCTGCGCTGCCACGTCTCTGGTTCCGATCTGTACGATCTCCCTCTTCTGCTGCTGGTTTTTGGGGGATTCTCTTGTAATCTCCGGGATCGCGGCACCTCCCCAAGATCTCCAGGTCTTCCCCTTTCATCTGTCTACCTCTCTGAGGTCCAACACATTACTGGAAGCCACCAAACAGCGAAAATCGGAGCCTTTCAGAGCGGCAATCTGCTCCTCAGCTCCGCATCAATGCAGCGCCCAGCTTTTTAGAAATGGTATTCCATTTAGGTGGCTCACCCCAGAGGGGCTTTTAGTTTCATGGCAGGACAAAAAATACAAAATTGATACAATTGAAACAGCACAGGAATTTTGTGAATGACACCTAGGACCCGAGGAAGAACAAGAAAGTAGAGACAACCTAAATACAAGAAGCCAAGAGGAACAACTCTCTAGAGAAAAAGAATCTGATTCACACTCTGAGCCCCAAAATCTTGGAGTAGAAGGGGAAGGCAACAGACTAAGAAAAAGAGAGCCTAGAACAAGAAATGAAATGAGAAATGCCTCACACAGTCACTGACACTGATAGAGAAATCACTTTATTTTCAGTCAATATCAATGGTTTAAATCTATCATCAAAAAGAAAACAGATATTTGAGAAACTTAAAAAACAAAACGCTGATATAACTTGTATCCAAGAAGTGCATATTCCAGACAATCAAGCAGACCTCTTAAAGAATATAAATTTGAGTAAAATGTACTTGGCACTTGAAAAAAAAAAGTGGGGGGTATTGTAGTATATGTAAAGAATTGGTTGCAACATAACAAATATACAAAGATCAAGAAGGGAGAATGCTCTTTATAGAAATAAATGTAAATCAGAAAAAGATGTTATTAGTCACAATATATGCCCTGAATACAAACCAAAAAGACTTTTATAGTAGGCTTCACCATAAGATAGTAGAATTTGAGTATGCTAATTATGCATTGTAGGAGACTATAATGCAGTCCCAGACAAAGATAAAGATTATAGAACTTCCCCCCCCCCCCCAAAAAAAGGAAAGGAGAATACTCCCTTCGTCTTTTAATAATATGGTAAAAGAACTTAACTTGAAAGATGTGTGGAGAGAATTAAATCCAAATAAAAAACAATATACCTTTTTTTCAAACCCCCACCACTCTTGGTCCAGAATAGATCAGATATGGATGGACCCTGGGTTAATGGAGAATATTGAAAGGATTGAGATTTTGCCAAATCTATGGGCTGACCATAATCCCATTCAAATTAAATGGAAAGGAAAGAGAAAAATTGGAAGATGGACATTTAACAATACTATATTAAGAGATAAAGAATAGATTGAAATGATAAAGAAAGAATTGAACGTATTTTTTGAAATAAACAAAAGAGAACATACCTCTCTACAGAATCTTTCGGATATGGCCAAAGCCTATGTGAGAGGTCTAACTATTACTTATAGTATTAAAAAGAATAAAGAAAAAAAACAGCAATAAAACATATGGAGGGAGAAACTGAAAGTTTTGGAAATAAGTAGACAAAAGGACCCAAACAATTCAAATATTAAGAAAGAAATTGATCTGGTAAAACATAAAATAAATTTAAATGTACCGGAAGATTTCGCCCGAAAAATTAAATTAGCAAAACAAGATTATTTTGAAAATGCAAATAAGCCGGGGAGGTGGTTAGCCCATAAAATTAAAAAAGAACAAGAAAAGAGAACGATTGTACCTCTCCAAGATCAGGAAGGGAAATTATGCATGCAGACCCAAGAAAAGAAAGAAATTGCTAAGGAGTTTTTTATGAAATTGTATAAACAGGAACAAAATACCAGAAGAATCTATTGATCAATATTTGAATGAAAAGAACTTGCCCGAAATTACTGGTGAAGAGAAACAAAATTTGACTAATAAAATATCTATAGAAGAAATTAGGAAGACAATTGGGACACAAAAAGCAAATAAGAACCCTGGCCCAGATGGAATTCCTTTGGAATTCTATAAGGAATTCCAAGAAACAATAGAGGAGATATTGGTGGACTTGTACAATGAAGCCCTGGAGAACACTAACATGCCTAAATCATGGTTGGAAGCATATATTACCCTCATTTATAAAGAACAATCAGACCCACAAAAAAATTCAAAACTATAGACCAATATCACTTTTAAATGTAGATTACAAAATAATGGCTACAATACTGGCGGAAAGATTAAAGAGAGTATAAAGTAGAATTATCCACACTGATCAGAATGGCTTCCTCCCCCATAGGCAAATAAAAACAAATACAAGAACCATTATGGATATATTAGAATATTATGAAGTACACTCAACCAAGACAATGGCATTGATATTTGTAGACGCCCAGAAGGCTTTTGACAACCTGAATTGGAACTTCCTTATTAAACAACTGATAGGCATGAAATTTGGTGAAAATTTTATAGGATTTATGAAGACAATTTATAACATGCAAACCACAAAAATATTAATAAATGGGGAAAATACAGATACCATAAAGATAAATGAATAAGACAAGGCTGCCCCCTAGTCCTCTACTGTATATATTGGCAGAAGAGACTCTCAGCACAAATTAGGCAAAATCAAGGGATTAGAGGACTAAACATTAAAAAAGAGGAATATAAACTCCAGGCATTTGCCGATGATATGGCATTTATATTAGAAGAACCCTTAGAAACGAGCCCTACACTACTAAGAGAAATAAAAGAATATGGAAAGGTGGCACGGTTAAAAATTAACAAAGAAAAAACAAAAATGTTAACAAAAAACAGTACAAAGGAGCAGAAGGAAGAACTAGCAAATAAATTAGGTATGCAGGTGGTAAATAAAGTAAAATACTTAGGGATCTGGTTGACTGCTAGATGTTTGTCGATTAAAAAAGATAACTATGATAAGTTAATAACGCAAATAGTTAAAGATTTAGATAATTGGGCCAAACTGCAGTTATCGTTATTGGGACGTATTTCGACAGTAAAAATGAATATTTTGCCAAAACTGTTGTTCCTGTTTCAGACAGTGCCAGTCAAGTTAGAAAAGAATTTTTTTGTAGAATTAAACAAATGTATATCTAAATTTATATGGCAGAGGAAAAAACCCAGAGTGAAATATAAACTATTACAGGATGCTAAGAAAAAAGGAGGATTTGGCCTTCCAGATTTTGAATTATATTATGATGCTGCTATAGTAAACTGGCTTAAGAATTGGGTTAAATTAGAAAATAGAACGTTATTAGTATTAGAAGGTTTTGATCTCCAACTTGGCTGGCACGCCTTCATGTGGGATGGAAAATCTAAACAACATTCATATTTCCAAAGGCACCGTGTAAGAAATGTGTTGTTCAATATCTGGGGAAAGATTAAAAAAATCCACTACCCAAAGGTTCCATTGTGGCTGTCTACACTGGAAGTAGTCACATATCCAAATCTATTGGATTATGAAAATATTGTCAGGTATAAAGATTTACTATATGATACTGGAGAGCTTAAAAATAGGAACCAAATACAAATTCAAGGAAAGGAGATAGAATGGCGGTCCTTTGCACAAATACAAACCCATTATAAAAAAGATAGAGAACAATTTGGCTTTAATATGATCCCGCAAGAATTAGATAAAATATGGCTAGGAAAGGAAAAGAAAACAATTAGTAAAACATATAAATATCTTTTGGATTACAAATTAAAAGAAAAAATAGTCACAGAATCTATGATAATTTGGGCTAAAAACGTGGGTCATAGTATTGAATTAGATAAGTGGGAACACATCTGGCAAACAAATTACAAATTAACCATGTCAGTCCCGTATAAAGAAAACTTATATAAAATGGTTCATCGCTGGCACCTATCTCCTGCGAGACTGGCTAAGATGTTCCCCAACCTACCACCCAACTGTTGGAAATGTAACTACGCATAGGGAACATATGTGGTGGACTTGCCCATGTGCTCAGAAATTTTGGAGAAATATTAGAAATTGGATTTTAAATATAACAAAACAAAATTTAAAACTTGAACCCGAAACCTTTCTGCTAAGTATGATAGATTTAAGTGGAGAAAAAATATCAATATTTAATTTTGCACATCATAACTGAGGCCAGAATAACCTACACACAAAACTGGAAACTGTCTTTCATTCCTTCAGAGGATATGGTAATTAGAAAAATACATGAATGTGCTGAGATGGATAGCCTAACCAAATTGTTAAAAAATAAACAAGATAGTGACTATTATGAAATATGGAACATTTGGTATGATTGGTTAAACAAAAGGTAATATTTGATATTTGGATAAGTTATGGAACTGACAGAAGACGTGCATTTAATTATAAACTATATAGAGAAATTAAAACATTAAAAGAATGAAGGAGTTATTGTAACAAGGCAGATCACATCAATGATAAAGAAAAAAAAACCACCACATATATACATATATATATGTATATATGGCATTCAGCTTTGTTCAGGTATTTTCCCACGTCATTGTAGTTGTGCTTTTAAAGTTGTAGCAATGTTTCGGCAGAATCTCATCTGCCATCGTCAGGCTTCTGTATAGTGTTCATCTGTGAGTCAGACTTTTACAGTGGTTTCAGATTTAAATTTGGGGCAGCCTATTGCTGTGCCAGAATAGTCTTTTCTTCACCCTGATTGATTGGGAGTCTTGGTCTGTGTTTATTGGTCTTGGAGTTTGCTGTGTTCTGCTTGATTGGTGTTTCTAATATCTTCTGTCTGTTTTTTGGCTCTTTTTGTATCTTGATTGGCTGGCAACATTGTGTTACTTTATTGGAGGCCTTTAGTGCAGCAAAAACTATTCTGGCACAGCAATAGGCTGCCCCAAATTTAAATCTGAAACCACTGTAAAAGTCTGACTCACAGATGAACACTATACAGAATTCTGACAATGGCAGATGAGATTCTGCCGAAATGTTGCTACAACTTTAAAAGCACAACTACAATGACGTGGGAAAATACCTGAACAAAGCTGAATGCCATACATGTAAGTACCCGCGAAAACTTTATATATATATATATATATATATATATATATACTACTGGCATTCGGCTTTGTTCGGGTATTTTCCCACGTCATAGTAGTTGTGCTTTTAAAGTTGTAGCGATGTTTCAGCAGAATCTCATCTGCCATCATCAGGCTTCGAAAACTTAAGAAAACACACACACACACACACACACATATATATGTATGTATGTATGTATGTTGATTTGTTTGTTTTAAATGTATGTCAAATAAATGTTTTTTTCTAGAATTAAAAAAAAAAGGTGATTCCTGTTACTGATTCAGGAAAATTTGGAGAGTCCTCCCACCTAAGCTGCTAGGAAAAGAGTGGAGAGCATTTAGATCTAATCCTGCCCGTCTTGGTTGGCTTTAGTTTTGAGGCCACAGAGTTTTTCCAAAGAGAACCTTAAGGGGATTGGGAGTATGAGCGCTTTCGCGTGCAGAAAGGGGTTTTGAGTTCCTATTGCCTGTCACTCAGCACTAGGGAGACAGTTGGCCTTCTTTTAGTGCTCTCCACCCCATCTGCCCCCCTTTTAGGGACATGTCAAACAAGATCAGGCCTATTGTTTCATTTGCTGTTAAATTCAGATCAGATCAGGCAGGCCAAAGTGAAGAGTTGTCCATCACCCCCTTTTCCATTCCTGTACCTGAGTCTGGTCCAGCCTGGCCCAGTGTTTCTTTAGTTGGTGTTTAATTTCAACTCAGCCCACTGTGTGCACCCCTGAGGCGACCCAAAGCGAGCGGCACTCAGGTGTTGGCCGGGGAACTGTTTGTTAACTGTGGAGGCCTGGCCAAGCAGCCTTGGTTTCACACCTGATTGGTTTCTGAAGAGCCGCGCAAGTTGGCACGAAGGCAAGGCAGCACCTGGCCCTGCTTTTCGAAGCCATCTCGTTTACTGACAGCCAGATAAGCAGGCAGGAGTGTGGTGTTTCCAACACTTCCTTGGAGAACCCTGCTGGGATGCAGGAAGCCCAAGTCTTAATGGCAGCAACTCCAAACAACTGGGCAAACATGCTGCCGATAAGATGTGGATCAACACGCCCACCCCTCTGGAGGGAGGAAGCCTTCTGGGGGCAGCCTAAACTTCTTCACTTCGTGCAAAGCACTGGTGGCCTAGAAAGGACCATTGACAAAAAGAGGAAGGCCCCAAGAACCAGAGAAGACCACAGATTGTCTTCCTCCCAGGGGTGGGGCTTTAGTAGATCTGCTGGGAGGGACATTTTGGTGAGGGTTCCCCCCCCCCCCACCTGGGAGGAAGTTGAAAACCAGATGTGTTCTGGAAAATACAGATTTATCATAACCAGTTCGCCAAACTGAACAAGAAATTAGGTATTGGTTCTACTGAACCTGTGTGAACTGGCTGAATCCCACCACTGATCTGTACTAAATT